CAGGAAGAGCAATTACACAACTGCTGGCTTTAGTGCTCTGGTCAGCGTCCACTTGCTGGGAACATTCTAGTAAAACACTGGATTAGGAGGGCAGGAGTGGCATTTCAGGGTGTCTGTGCTTGACCGGTCATGTGACACTGCGTACATGTGCACAGGCATACACGTGCGCCCATACATGGCCTTACAGCACTCACGCCCTCTGGAGACGGTGAAGACCTCAGTACCATTGTGTTGCTTCTGGGGTTCTCAGATTTGGGAAAGTGTCTGCATCAGCAAACATTGGTGTGAACGTAACATGGTGCTTGTGAGTGCATGACCTGCTGCTCTCTCGAATCCGTCTCTGTCCGGTCATCTTTCCTGTTTGCCTGGCTCTTCATATTCATCGCGGCCCTCCTTGTCATGGTGACCGTTCTCTGTGGCGCTTCCGTGTCCCATGAACTTTGACCTGTGCTCTGTTGTTTTGTGCTCTGATATCTTGTGCTCTGCAGGGTGTGGCGCGGGCAGAGCCTTAACCGTCTCTCCCTTCTTCTTGTCTCCCTTTGCAGATTCGGCTAGTGACTCTGCCAAGTCTAAGGTGAGTGTCTGTCACGGGGGCAAAGAGCACCTGAGGGAATTTTGGAAGGTGAGGTAGGTGTCCCGGGGTTGTCCCCCCTCAGGTGGAGTCTTTCCCGCAGCATTCTGACGGGGTGTGACAGAGGAAACCCAGCAGAGAGGATCACTTTAAGGACATTTGGCTCTTTCATACCTCCAAAAAAAATAAAAAAATAAAGATTCTAACCCTTGGCTGACATGCAGGCAAATGCTTGGCAGATGGATCAGCATGAGTACTGATTTTGGACACGGGGGGAATGTTTTTCTGATCAGGAATGCCAGACGTCTTCTTCTGCTGAACTTGAGCGGTACTATATTTGAAAGACTGTCTGCTCGCGGCTCCCGCTTGTGGTGTTTCCACTCGTGTGTTGGCTCCCGCTCTCTGCTCCCGCCACTGAGGCCGCGACAAATGTGCCGGATGGCTCACAAGCTTCTGCCGCTAACATCCGCTGCCCTGTCTCTTTTCTCCCATCCCCCAGCAGGGTTCCTGGGGATCCGGGAAGGACCTGCGCAAAGATCTACCGGTGTCCTGCATCTTTGCTGCGGCCAACCGCAAACGAAAGAATCTCAAGGAGAAGCTGCAGCCTAGCAGTTCAGACGACGACCTGGATGGCGGACTTCTCAGGCGGGGGCTAGCGGAGCAGGATCAGAACCGGGACGCCAGCTGGCCTCACAGTGGAGCCGGCCAGAAGGACAAGACGGGCGTTGGAGAGTGCCAGGAGTCTGGGAAGGAGAACGGAAAGGGAACTGAGCTGGCGGGCAAGATGGAGAAGGATCACTGGAACTCATTCTTGGTGAAGGAGAAGCCTTCTCCAGCACAACCGTCACCCTCCCCATCGCCGAGCCCCCGGCACACCGGTTCCCCCAGCTTCAGCTACCGAACGGCAGTGCCGGGGAAGTCCTCGCTGTCAGAGCCATCCTCACTGCTGGATGAGATTGTGTCTGATCTGGGCACCATGAGCTCCCAGGCCTCTGTGCACCGGGTCCGGCAGAGGAAACGGACCGGTCTGGAAGGGCGGGCTGGCGAGGCAGCGACGGTTGCAGCGGAGGTCAGTTCCATCACCTCAGACTACTCCACTACCTCCTCCATGACCTTCCTGATGGGGGCCGATGGCAGCACGCTCAGCCCCGAGGTGCGGTCGGTGGCTGAGAGTCGGGGAGACGAGGCGGACGACGAGCGCAGCGAGCTGGTCAGTGAGGGGCGGCCAGTGGAAACGGACAGTGAGAGCGACTTCTCCGTGTTTGCCGGTGGCAGTCCCGCCCTGGACAGCGAGAAGGTCATGGGGTGCACCTTGGACCCAACCAGTGGCGATCTGGGCGATGCCGAGGATAATGACGTGGCCAGATCAGAAGGCCGGTGCCTCTTCTCCACCCACAAGCTGGTCGAGTGTGACACGCTGTCCCGGAGACGGTCGCTGCGGCAAAAGACAGACAGTGAATCATCAGAGGGGGGGCGGAGCGATAGAGAGTCCAACCGGCTATCCCGTGTCCTGGAGGTGATGAAGAAAGGCCGGTCTGGTGGGAGCTTGAGCACCCCCTCCAGGGCCGAGTCGGAGAAGCTGGAGCCGGCGTGGAAGCTGAAGATCACCGAGAGGCTGAAGTTCCGGCTGAAAACATCAGCGGATGACATGTTCGGGGTGGGCACGCAGAAGGCGATGGCACCGCCACCACCGGAGACTCGCAGGAAGAAGAACGTCCGGCGCCGCCACACGATGGGGGGACAGCGTGACTTTGCTGAACTGGCGGTCATTGGCAGCTGCAAGGGGCGGGTCGACCGGAGCGCAGAGGCGGAGCTTTCGGCCATGGACCGGCTGAAACCCAAGTGCAGTTCGCAGGACTTCTCGATTCGGGAGTGGATCGCCCGGGAACGCTGCCGTGGAGACCCCGAGCCTGCCCCGGATACCACTGCCGACCAGGGGGGCTGCTCGCAGCCGGTCCAGGACGAGACCTCACCCGCCACATCTGCAGACCCTCAGCAGGTGGAGCAAGCAAACGGGGGTGGCCTACAAGCCAAAAACAAACAGGCCTTGAGCCTGGCGGCCGACGCCCACCCGCATAAGCTGTCGGGGGCGCAGGTGGTACGCTCCAGATTCTACCAGTACCTGTGATGTGGCGCAGCGTGTGCACCTGAGTATGCGTGGAGCTTTTTTATCTGAACCGTTTACCACGCAGCTTATTTTATACGTGCGTGTATACGTATATGTGCGTGTATGTATGTGCATATGTATAGTGTAACAAACGTAACTGGATTAAATATGTTTTTTTTTTTAAATGTAACCTCGTTTTAATTGACTGCACAATAGCAGAGGGGAGGGAAACCTTGCCTGACTCTGCCAGTCATGGTAAGATGCTTCTAGATGGCTCAAATTGGCTGTCGGAAACACCCACAACCGGTTTCAGTCCGGGTCATGTGGATGTTACCTGATAGCTGCAGTAACAGGCGTGTAACCTCGAGCTGTGGTGGGTAGCTCCCTCTCCCAAGAGGATCCCGTGAATGTAGGCGCCCGCTTGGATGCCCGAGGCGGGGCTCTCGGTCTTGTCCTCCGTTCAGAGTGTACATACTTCTCTCCGTACTTGAAGTCTGAGTTATCGCCATTCAGCCTGAGTGAGGGCTGCTTTTTCTGTGCTGTTGCGTCGCGGAAAGTCTTTGCGGCGTGTGCCAAACAGCCAGATGATGTGAGTTTAGCAAAAACAACACAAATGATTTTAAAATGTTTTTTAGACGACAGGAAGGGAGTCTCGGTCATCTGTGTCCATCGCTGTTTTGTCTGACCCTTCCTGGCATTTGAACACAATAAAACAAAACATCCTTCTCTTCAGGAAAGTGCCTCGTCGACTTGGTTCAGGCTTTGCCACGGAGCCGTAAGGTGAAAATCAAAACCTCCCACTACCGACATTTTATACGGTCGTTTCTTGTCGGGTGTCGGTCGCAGTGGCAAATTGAGTTTCCATTTGTCAGCCATTCCAGATGAACCTTAATGTGGTTTATGTTTATTTTTGTTCTAGATTTTATCGGGACTTGAATTTTAATATTTCTGTAAAATAAGTAACTTAAATGTGTATATAGATCATGTTTAGAGACCCCCAACCTACTCCAGTGCCATCATTGTAATATAAGCATGTAGCTAGTAAAGCAAACAGAACATATCAAACACTAGCCCCCTCCCCCGAAGACTGCATGAGAATATGCTTCTTGGAACTGGACCATTGTATGATGCTTGAGTATAGCAGGCCCCCAAAACACTGGAAATAAACTTGTTTATGTGATGACGTTTATGTGCCTTTTTTGTATGGATAAATTAGTGGTTGGTAGCCACCTAGTGATTACTGTTCAAAAAGCACCTGGGACACAAGTGGAAATAAATCTGAGCCTTGGTAATCATTCTTTCACTCCTACTTCCTACTTGACTGCATTAACAAGCATACTCTTTATTTTACCTATTGACTTCCACCAGTAAAACACAAGACACAAGTTCCTCCTCGTTCCTCAAGGGGGCTGACGGAGTTCACCATTACATGACGTTAGCTGCCACCTGCACTCTGCAGCCCAACGGTGCTGTTGTATTTCTGAAATGTTTGTCAAGGCCAATGAAACTGACTCGATCTTGTACACCCCTCAAAGTCAACTACAGCCTTGAGACCTTATTGCACATTTTGGACAGGACAGCACAGACATGGGGTTTAGTTATTGTATAAAAGGATGTCAAATCATAGGGCACTACCATACAAGCAGGTATCATACTGGGCTTATTCTACACACAACCCGGCCTTTTTCTGAGCCATCTTTTGGTGGCTTCTTTCTGTGTCATGAATGCCATTTAGGTGAAATAGGACACTATCCCTAAAGATGGCAGCTGCCAGTGGACCATCCCCATCACTGCCAAGTCTTACATGTTTAGTGTGACGCTCATGGTTTCACACTGTCATGTTCAAGCAAGAGGCCTTATGGCAAATCTGTAAGTAAAAACTGTTGCATACGTGTAAATGTGTGTGCAGACTTAAAAATTTTGCTCCAGGCAGTTGACCAAAGCTGGCAACCCTGATCACTGCTAATTCCTTTCCTGTCTTCAGTCTCCTGGCTGCCAATTTAAATCTGTCCATGGAGTTTGGACTTTAAGCCCTTGGAAGCCTTGTGCAAGGCAGACTGTCAGCATAATGGTCTTGGATTAAAACCATCGCTCACCCAAAACAAACAAGCCAATAGGTAAATTGTTGGGAAGCATAGCAACTGACATGATACTTGTTGACACACAGTTCTGGTGACCAGATCAAAAATGTAATCTGCTTAAATTCCCCCAGGGCCCTGCCTCACCTACTTAAATGTCCCTTTAATTGCTTGATTTTTAAAAATGCACAGCCGCTTAAGGAACAAACAAACAAGCTGCGATATTTTTAGGCACCAGGGGGCGCTGTGGTACTGCAAGTGTATTTTCGGTTAGGAGTCACGAATTATATTTTTATTTCTGACAACACTGCTATGAAGGTATTATCGTTTCGGTTATTTTAAACTCTTATTTTAAGCATTGCCAGCATTGAAACAGGGAAGATAAATGACAGCCCAAAGCGGTGAACGTTGTAACATTAAAACTTAGTTTTAAATACAGTTTTCCTCACTGGCTGACTTGATTTTACATTTTGATCTTGTACTGAGATTGTGAATTTTAAATTTCATGACTAGAAATGGCTTTATAAGTCCCGAGGCAGCTAAAGGGGGAACATTTTTATAATGGTAGTCTTCAACGGGAAGTCATTTATGTAATTTTATGTAAATGAAAGCATTTTGTTCAGTGCCAGCGAATAACGACTGAGCGGCGCCTTTTAAATCTACCGCCTTGTTTCTTGCAAAGTCAACAGCCTGATTCGGCCATGCTATCCTTAGCTTTGCTTTTGCATCTTTTTTCAGCTGGAGATGTGCTGTAGTATAACCTCAGTGTGTTAAGGCGGAACAGGTGCTCTTCGACTTACGATGAGGTAACGTCCCGATGAATGGAAAATATCGTAAGTTGAATATGAAAATGATGCGATAACTACTGTCACTGAATAGGTGATTACTAATAATATTGAATAAATAACTACTGTAACTAAATAACAGTAATTTAAAAGTAATTAATAGAAGTTTATTTGGTTAAACGGAAGAACACACCGATGTGTCGTTAAACACTGTACGTGACATTTACGCTGGCGATTGCTACGCAGGATGGAAGCGGGGCTGCGTGGATGCTGCCATTGCCTGGCATCGGTAGAGTGTATCGTACGGCATATCGATAGCCCGGGCACACATCAAAATTCAAATTTTGATAACTACAAAATGTGCATTGGTTTCGCACCATTATAAAGTGAGGAAAATCTGTATGCAGATAAGAGACCGCACCTGTGGGGTACATCTTCTCTAGCCCACTTGGGGGCGCAACTCACCACAGAACTGGGACTGTCACTACAAATGGGTCACACATTGCCTCGTCCCTTTCATGGAGATTTGAGAGCGGAAACGCAAAATTACCAATGCTTCAGATAATTCGTGGAGGACACAGCCATGCCCTTTTTGAAGTAAATCCTTCAAATTATTTTTACAAATTGATTTTTTTTGGGTAGTGGAAAGAGTGTGTGTACTATCTAATGAGAGTCCTTGAGGGAACAAAAGCCTTTTCCAGCAAGCTGTAGATATGTTGCTGCAGTAGGATCCACTCACCCGCCTCTGGAGACTGGACAGGCTGCTACAGATTTGCATTGGTCTACAGGCTGCATTTGTACTACTCTTCACTCAAAGGTAACACCAACTCCACCCACCCTGATGTTCAAATGGGCCACAACATTCCTGTATATCTGCTCAAAGGTGCATCAACTACTATATCCTTCAATGTCTTTATGGTTGTAGTTAGAATTAGAATTAAGTGATCAGTGGTTATTGTCAACACACCACAGCACACAGTGCGCAACAACGAAATGTGTCCTCTGCATTTGACCCATATGTGACTTTCGTGACATAGCAGGGGGCAGCTAATTCAGCGCCCAGGGAGCAGTGCTTTGGGACGGTACCTTGCTCAGGGTACCTCAGTGGTGACTTGCTGGTGGGGGATTCGAACCTGCAATCTTTCGATTACAAGTGCGCTACCCTAACCATCAAGCCACCACTGCCCCAAAATTCAGTTCATGAGATGTAATTATTAAAAGCCTTTGAGTTCGACCATCAAATCCCTATGTAATCATATCCACTTACAAAGATGGGGATATTTACGAATGATAGCTGTGATGGTGTTGCACTGCAGGCCGCCCGTGGTTTTCCAGGAGAGTGCTGCAGGCCAGCATCCTACAGTATATCAAATGGCTCCTTGCAGTCGTGCATGTTCAGCTGACACTACGTTAAGAAGTACTGCTCTGTCCTCTGCTAGGTTTTTTGTAGCATTTGCAGTTTAGTTGGTCACATTGGTGTCTTATATCCTGTGTAACCTGGGATAGGGTCCAAGCTCCTCACAACCTGGACCAGCAGGTAGAAGAGGGGTGGATATATGGACAGCTATGTCCACAAACTTTTATCATACTCTTGAGAAAAAGCAGACCCACACAGTTCAATACTGTCTGCCTGGCCACCTGGTACACACATACAGTACATCATACTTACACCCAAGATCCAAAGGGATCGACTGCACATGGACGGCTTGCTTCAGAAAGTAAGGGCTGATGAAGATGTACATAGTCATTTCCACTACATTCACAAGCTTATGGCTCAACTCATTATGAAGGCAGTAGGACAAACGTAACGTCTGAAAACGTCCATTCGAGTCTGGATCATCATTATGGGTCGTAAAAGTACAATAAGGAAATCTGAAGGGCCTTTAATTCCCGGCTCAATGCTTTATGAATCCCAATAGTCCTCAGAGTGTAAAAATCCTGTATAGCTCTGTGGGTGATAAGGAGATGCATTAATGAGTAGAGGAGATGTGGCCAACACTCACAGCCCTAAATTTAGCTGACTGGGGGGGGGGGGTGGCAGGACAAACAGATAGCACCAAGGATTAAAAAAATAAAAACCCACAGCATGATGGTAAAATAGCTTTTATTCTTACAACATTAACCTTCATGCCAAAGTCCTCTCTTCTGTTTCTGTTGAGCTTGCGGAGTGTGCAGTCACATGTCCATTCAGTAACGGCAATTCTCTCCCCATCCTCAGACTACATCAGTGAGGCGTGAAACATGGGGGGCCAGAAAAGATGACCCATCTCTCTCCAACCGCCGAAACGCACGGGTAACACTAAGATACTGACTAAGACGACGTTGAGGAACAGTTTTGTACAACAAGCCAACGAAACGTTTCACTGACAATACTGAGAATGGGATGCAACTCAGCGGAGGCAGTCAGCTGACAGAGGTGAAAGGTCAGCTGCAGATGGGGGCTGTCATGCACTTTAACCCAAGAATAATACACATTCGAACAAAGAAAAACACACTTGTGCCTCGAGCTTTCAAACTGTAAAAATGACCATATAGAATTTGTTTTAACGCCAAAATTGTGACTGCTATCTCAGTTTTGCAAAAGAAGAGTGACACCGGGATGTGAAAAGCCCAGTTCTGCAGAGCAGTTCAAGTCCATGGACACGCCGCAGTGAAGTCCGGAGCTCTCCGTAGCCGACAGGTGTCAGTGAAGGAGGGCGCGTCAGAGCAAGCCCCTGTTTGAGCACGTTTGAGGCATGGCACTGCATGCCAACTCTCTACCCGAGTAAGGCACAGTCACTAATATGGGTCCAGATGGTTCTGGTTCCGTGACACGGCGGAGACTCTGCGCCGCGGGAAAGAGAGGCTGGCGAGAAACAGTCGGACCACACGGCCGTGACACCGATTGAAAATAAACGACTCCGCCATCTGAGCAACTGGAATGATGTCAGTCCAATGGAACTTCACTGCGACGTACGCTTGAGGCCACAAAGAGTCCAAGATCAGGACAAACACTGAGAAGGAGAGGAAATAAACAGAGGGGGGTCAACGACGCTTAGTGTGCTACTTTACATGAGAACGATGGACACGAACACTGTCAAAGGTGGAAAGTTCATCATGATTTAAAAATCGTACCACCCGGTCATATAAAGCCCCCCATATACTTCAGAATTTCAGTAACCTTTTAAAGACTCTGCAGAAAGAGTCCCGACATTCAACCCAAATGTTTGTGCTATAAAACCTGCGTTCGTTTTTGTGGATTTGTAAGCGAATGGTTGGGCGGGGAAGGGGATGCTCAGCAGGAAGTGGGTGTGTCTGAAGCCATCCGATAGATAGGACCAACGGCACGGGGTCGACCTAAGCCAGTGAGGTCCTTCAACATGCTCCGTTTGGTCCGGAGAACCATGGGGGGGAGAAGCGGTAGGATGTCGCTTTTGCTGATGCTGTCGGTTCTTCGGAGGCCAAGGATGAGAAAGGGGGGTAGTGAGGCAGGCCGCCACTAGCAGGGTGGGGGGCACTCTCGAGAAGTCGAAAGAGGAACGAACCGGCTGGTTGCATATTGAGCGGCTGGCTCAGGGTGGACCCCCCCGTGGGGCCGCTGCAGCTACCCCTCCTCCTCGTTCTCCTCCTCCAGTCTCTCCTCAAAGGCCTTGTCCGGGAGCCGGAAACACTCCTCGAAAAAGTTCACCAGTGACTGGCTCTCGTGCTGCCTGGTGCTCTTGCTGTGCAGGTAGTGCCCCTCATCTGGGTAGATCTGTATGGAAAGTGGCATAGGACCATTTAACCTCTCCTCACCCTGGAATACTGGGAAGGCAGGAATTAACTGGGAAAATTGCACCTACAAAAGGCCACATATGCAGGGAATTTTTCAGGATTAACAAAACATTTGAAATTGTGGCACAGCTGCAGTTGATGCTAGGACTAACATTAATTTGACAAATGGTGCAGCCGTAAACCAACACTGTAGGATAACAGAAAGGATCTGGGAGTGTCATGCTGAAGATAAACACCAGTAATATCCTGATTCTAGGTGTGTGTAACTTTCCTCATGAGTACCCCCAAAGATCAGCTCCTATTATTAAAACAAGAATACCTCAAATTTTCTCTGCTGTTATAACTGCTAGAGGAGGTTACTTTGATGAATCAAAGATATATTTTCTTGCTAATAATGGTACTCAGATGGTGAACATACTATAAATTTCTTTGTTGGGAAAGAATATTGAGTGTATTTTTAGTAAGTGTTAAGTGAGTAACATGCAAATGTAGAAAATCTCAGCGTGTGCAAAAACTTTTGATTGTTAGTGTATTTCACCACATAATTAAGAGGCATTAGCCCACCCAACACTAGCCCTCATGCTGGGAATGTGCTCACCTGTAAAGTGTAATTCGCCTTTTCGTTGATGAGGTGGCTGATGAATTTGGCGGTGTGCTGAAAATGGACTTTCTCTGCAGAAAGACAGAAAAACTAAATAAAACATGTTACTGCCACCAACTGTAATTTTAACGAGTGCCATTTAATCTGGCAGGTTCCGGAAATTATCCTCCTCAGATTTCACTGGGGTACTTTATTTTCAAGAGCTGGGAGGCGTTTATCAGCGAATCGGACGTGACTCACCGTCAGCTGTTGGGTGAATGATCAAGAGCTTCTTATCTTCAAACTGCGATGCACGGTTTGCTAAATTTGCCATCTGTGGAAATAAATGGAGACTATTGAAGCTAAGTTGGGCAGGATCATCATGCGCTGTCAATCACTGACATTCATGCTGCTCGGTTACTTATTGGTTACTTCCGGAATCAGTATAAAGCCAACACTGATTGGTGATGCACAGTGATCCCACCCACTGTACCGTTTGTACCCTGACCTTTTGTACTCTTACACCTATCAACATTTATTTTTTCTGGTCTGATACCGATATTAAAATTTTGAGTATGTGCTGATGCCGGTAATCCAATATTTTTTTTTCCCCTTTATCATCGACTAAGCATTAAATTACATATTTGTATGAATACATTTGCCAAACTGTCTGCATTTAGTGTTGCAGTGGCATCATTTGAGAGAGAGGCTGCCGAGAAACAGTCGGACCACACGGTCGTGACATCGATCGAAAATAAATGACTGCCTCCCGGGCAACTGGAAATGATGTCGGTCCAAAGGAACTTCACTGCAACGTACACTTGACGCCACAAACAGTCCAAGATCAGGACAAACGTCGACATTGAGGAGGAGAGGAAATAATTGGGAGAGAGGGAAGAAGCTAAGAATGGAAAATATAATGGTCATGTCGCTCAAACAAACACTATTGCAACTACGGTACAGAACTAAATCCACAGCCAGCACAAGTCTGCTTCTTTGTCTAATTCAGTAACAACTTTCACAAACATTAACAGTAATATTTCTTAACCTGCATATTGTGCAACCTGTTGCCAAATTTATAATAAAGAAAGCAATCATAAAAATATCACTTTAAACCCCAACTAACCATTTCTAGTCAAAAAGTATACAATAAGTCTCCAGGACCAAAAAGACAATGGAGCACAGGTAAAACTTTTAAGTAGAAAGTAAGCAAACTTTAGCAAGAATACAAGTCTGAAAACATTAAGTCTGCATAAATTGTACTGTGTTCAGACCTGAGAAAAATTTGCATACATTTTTTTGCTTTTACATACAGTTACCATATTTCTGCACAGCCCATATGGCAGCTCTGACGCACATGCGTTGCTGAAGCATCACGTGGCCCTCACTTCTGTTCACGGTGTGTCACGCTAAGGCTGCAAGCATTTCCACGATTATCAGGCTAGACCTCTCTTTGATGGAAAATCAGATCCGTGTCTTATTCCCCCACCCCTCCGATATCTGATCCAGAATTTTGTGCCAGTATCGGCCCAATCCTGATAGTGGGTATCAGTTTTCATGTTAATTAAGCATCAACATACCCCATATGCTCTCGGGTCTGGCTTCGGAAGTCCCAAATATCTTTCCGAAAATGCGGACGCTGAAATAAAGGGCGGAGATGATGTTAGCATTCATCCATATTAAATTATGACTTGCATTTTAGATTCATGTTTCTGTTCCACAGGCAGGTGCACATCCCACTCAATAGTCACCCAGGCTAACACACACCGAGAGCTATAAGACGTCGACCAGTCTGAGCGAAGCTGTGTTTCCTCAGGCCTTTCTTGTGTCAAATATGCACTGCACCGTTTACTAATAAATTTTCCTTCCCATACTTTAAAGAAAAACAGTGTAAATGTGTTTGCCACAGGGACACAAACATTATTGTGTCCTCCCTGTTTACTGTGCATACAACCACTCCTTATTTGGCAAGCAGCTTGCTTAGCAACCATTCGCAAATATGACATAGGGCTGGGCGATATGCCGGAAAAATGATATCACGATATTTTCAGATATTTTCACAATATTCATCTTTATCATGATGTTCTAAAATTCATAATCAGAAAACAGTAAAATATGACAGGTGGTTTTTCTGATTATGATGACCAAATTGTTTTACTAATACCATGTGAGAGTTACAATGACATATTACACCCACTCATACCTTGATGGAATTTGTGTAATAGTAGTGCATTATAACTATCACTTGTACAAGAAAACAAGTATTTAGACTATGTCACAATACTCAAAATATTCAAACTGATGACAATATGAATGTTCATAATTACAATATCGATATCGCCTAGCCCCAATATGACAGTAATAAAAAAAAAAAGTAATTTTCTGACCAACGCATGCATTTCCAACCAAATTTCTGACACCTGACAACAACACTTGGTGGAGTGACAGTGATCTTTGAAGTAGAATGTACAAGAAAATTACAGTAAAGCACAGTCAAGCACATATGCACATTCCTGGTCATATCTAGGCTACTGTGATTTTCACTAAGCAACCATTTGCTTAACCGTTGTTGGAATGGAACTCTTTTACTAAACAAGGAGGGGTTGTGATGTATTTCTATACCCTGCCTGACCCCCCTGTCCCCCCTACCGTATAATTCGAAGTCCGTGATGGGTGAGACTGCTGCTCCGCACTTCAGTAAGGAATCCTCAGAGCTCAGGAGAAGGCTGCTTAAATATCCACCATAAACCTGCAGGGGCACACATGCTTCCTGTTTCAGTCTCAGGCCTGACACGTGGCCTACCCTCCGTCTCCCAGACTAAGGCCAGCCCCACCAAGCCTCGCTCACGCCGTTACGCCGCTTCCCAGATGGCAGTCTGATGTCATCACAGAGCCCTGCATGCAACGGCCTCACACCAGAAAACCATTTTCCCCGGCACAGCGGCTGGCTGGTTCAGAGGGTCAGGGGCCAGGTAAGTGGGAAGAGCTGAATGTACAGTATCATGTGTGGAACTTGGTGATACTGTCAGTTCTTCTGGTCCCCCAGTGGGAGGCACAATGATTTGTGAGGGAGCCTCTCAATGCAGCAGCAGGCAGGAGGCAGGCTTTACAGCACTGGAAACACAAGAGTGGGAAAAGCCTTCTCTTTTTTTAAATGATATGTCTATTTATTTGTGCCGATGGATTTTCTAAATCACTGGAGCCCCAAACACAAAGCAGTCCTTCCTGCCTTAAAGCTGGGCTCACTTTCTCCTCACCTACCCCCACTAGGGTTCGGGTTGTTATTAGGATGAGGGTTACAGCCAAGCCCCGCCCCCCCATCTCGCTCTCTCACCCCCATCCTTGGACTTCTGTCGTTAGAGCCCATTGGATTTGTCCCTGCATTACCCCACCAGTACTGAGCCTTCTTTACCACACTGCCAGGGTCTTCGGTATTTTTAGCATTCCCCCCAACCTGAGTGCTCAGTGGGGGCCATGCCCTCATTACAGGGAGCAGCAGCGACAGTCTTTACCTTTCCGAAGACTCCCATACGGGTCTTATCGATGTATAACTCTTCGGATATTTTGCTGAAAGGGGGGGGGGGGAGACATACGTTAGCCATTTCTCATTGCACGTTCACGTCAGTATCCATTATCCATCACCCGAATTATTGGTCCCAGGTAAAGTAGAAGGAAACACTAAATAACTTGATCCAGGCTCTGAAGTTTAAGTTTCGGCCCCTGCACACCTGAGCACCTCCAGCTGGTCCTTCTCCTCGAACACCCCCAGCCTGCGCTGCACCTTGTGCAGAAGGTAGGAGCCTCTGAAGCCGCTGCCCCAGCCATCGAAGCGGACCACCACGGTGTCAAAGCTGCTCACCAGCACGGTGGCCCAGTCCACCTGGAAGAGCTCGCTCACCGTCTGCCCCCCTGGTGTGCCATCCCTGTGTGGGGGTGTGGGGGGTACCAGTGAGTCGTCGTCATGCTAAACTGGGCCCTTTCAATCCCATCTCCACAAGTATCTGTCCGCATCATACCAACTGCCTGCTTCCCCAAGTTATATTAATGGTTACCCCCCAGCCCCTGATGTGACACTATTCTGAATGCGCAGTGCACCAGGAGATGAGATCAAAATTAATTAACAGGAACTGCTTTCCTCTGCAAACTAATCACTGAGCTTACGGAAGTAGGGAATCGCTGGCGTCAGTCTGATTAGCTGCGTGATTACGGCTGCGTGATTACGGCTGCGTGATTAACAGATCTAGCCGCATTGCCACAGTAACGCCCTCCAGAGGGGGGCGGCGGAGAGTCCGCGGGCCAGGAGAAGCGGTGGCTGATTGGCGTTGGCAGGGGTCTGATTGGAGGGGATCGGTGCTGAGTGACAGGAGCGAGGGCCCTATTTGCACACTGCAGCATAACATTAAGACACTCACACCAGGAGCAGCAGGGGGTAATGAGCCGTGTCCAGGAAGCCAGCCGGTTTCAGGATCTGCATCGTCAGGCCTGGAGACAGCAGCAGCAGACAACAATCAGCCTGGACCTTGGTGAGTGTGCTCGTACCCCGGTAGACACTTCTAGACACTCATCAGCGAGCTTAACCCAGTCCGAAAGTGCCATGGCACATCTAAAGACCTGGCACCCGCACAGTGGATTCTCTGAAGCGGGACGCCGGCTCTCCGCGCTCGGTAAGGAGGTCACGTACTGTAGTCCCCAGTGGTTATTTCCCTGTACTCCATTTTTGGCATCTGCATGGATTCCAGAGTGTTCCGCAAGTCCTCGTTCATCTCCAGGTCGACGACCTCTGTGAAGAAAGGATGCTGTTCAGGACAAGATACAAACTAAAACTAGTCTACATAACAGGTTATCAACAAGGGGCAATTAACTTAGGGTGAGACAAGGTTTTATCATCACACGGTCAACTCTCCCAGACTCACATGCTGCAAGGAAGCTGCCGGTTGAGTAATACTTCCATTAAACTGAATTTGTTTCCCGAGTAAAACCTAAATTTAAGGTGCCTTCCACTGCCAGTACTGTGGGAACGGTGAACGGCACTGGAGTGCATGAGAGCCATAAATGCCGGAATGTGATTCTCCCTCTATGCACAATCTGGCCTCTCTTACGAACAGGGAGATTTCCGATCAAAGACCGGTGTGACGAGGTGCTCGAGAGGTTGAGAAATGGCCCTAAAGAGTGGAATGTGGGCTACGGTGGGCGAGGAACCCCCCGCGTTCCGGGCATTACTGCTCTTATTGCGCTCTTTATCCCAGGGCATAATACACGAAAAAGATATCATTCATAAACGGAGCTGGATCAACTTAAGTGCTCTTATAAGCATTCTGGGTCCTTCTATAAGACAGACAAGTGATGGCAGAGACGGTCTTGCTGTGGGAGGTCAGAAGACTCACTCTCCTTCTCGTCGGTGCTGTACGCCGTGGAAAAGGGGACTCCAGGGCCTGGGGAGAAGAAATAAGCCTTTAAAAAGGGCGGGTCCTTCACTCCTCCTTAACAAACAGCCAAACGCTGAAAGCAGAATGCCTAAAATGACCCCCCCCATGGCCTCTATCACCTGATCAGCATTTTTGCTACTTGCTTACTCAGTCTATCCTGACCCAAAAAGTCAAAAAAACAATTAATTAAAAATAATTACAAGTCTAAAAAATAGCCGAGAAGAACCTGGAGGAGATGGATCATCCAACTTATATTTTTTGTTTGGTCAAAAATATTTATACTGGGGGAAAATGACCCGCGTCAGTGATGTAATGCTGCCTCGTCGGGGGTGGGGTTACGCTGCCTCGTCAGTGAGGTGGGGGGGGGGGGGAGGTGACGCAGCTGTCTCCCTAGCCATCAGGACAGTCCCCCTCCCGCTGCCGTATCCACACATCGTGCTGATTAATATGCCCGGGCTACCAGCTGACATGCTCCCACGCCTGTGAGCCCAGTAAGCTAAACTGGAACGGCACCAATGGCTGGAAAGGGGTGCTGCTGCTGCTGGATGTGCTGGATGCTGTGACCGGGTCAGCGCTCAGATAAACTTGAGGACAGGGAACCACAGCAAGCTGTCTCCATTCACTGCTGATTCCGCATTTCCTTTGAACTCCTCTGTAATCTCACAAAACCTTCCGGATCTGCGAGAGGAAGCTGGCGGATGCTGCTGCCTCTGCATGAACTGGGCTCCTGGGAGTAAAAGCCTCACACTGCTGACTAACGGAAAGATCACTTAACCAAACCAGTGACTCAGGCGGAGCAGGGCTGCGTTTCAAAAGCAAGAATTTAATAACTTTCAATAAAACTAAACAGCACCAGATTACATTAATGCAGAAACTGGATTTCTAGATTTCATTTCTCAGATCAGTTAAGTGAAACCAGAGCTGGGTGGAGAGGTGAGGAACAGGAACACAGTCCTTATGAATCGATCACCAAATTGGAGAGTGAACAATGAAGCCGGGGCATTCAGACAGGCCGCCATTGCAGAGACTCCCGTAAGTCAAACGCGCCAGATGGCCGTGGGTCACGCCGACAGACCCTGAGCCAGCTAGTGGCACCGCGCCCTGTCCCCCACCCCCCACCGGCTGTCCTGTCAGAGCTGGGCTTTTTTTTTTATCCTATGACCTTTAAGTTCTGACGCTCCAAACTGGGACTGGGACTATTCAAATAAAAAGTAACACGGTAAAGCCGTATAGTTGTCCTGGGGGCATGCAGTACATCCTGCGCTTTATGGTGCAAATTAGCATCACAGGAATACGGCCAAAACACGACGTGTAAATCATTGCATTCTGACTGCTTCTCGGAGGCCGGAGGCCCTTGAAAGAAGGTGAGCATTAAATACTGAATACCCACCTTTACAGTTGAGCAGAAAGTAGCGCATGTCCTTGCTGAAGGAGCCACTGACATAGCCACAGTCGTTGCTGAAGTCGCATGACAGACAGCGACGGTTGAAGTGGCCGACGGTGTGGGCACTGGCACAGGGACGAGGGGGGTGGAGGTGGCGTTAGGTGCGATCCTTGGGCACGACAAATGAGAGCAGCAGGATCAGCAGGGGCTTACCTGTACAGGTGCCTCCGTTTTGGGTCGTCCTCGGTGCTCAGGAAGTATCTGTAAATCACAGACAGCAGTCTTCACACATGACCGGAGGGTTGCCGGTTGAAATCCCAAGGGTGGCAGAGTGATTCACTGTTGGGCCTTTGAGCAAGGCCTTCAACCCCCAATTATTCCAGGGACTGGATGACCCTGATCTCTGATCCGCGCCTGTACACCGCTTTGCACAAAAGCGTGTACTACAAAAATTAATGTAAATGTTTCTGGATGGTAGGAAACTAAAAATTACACAAACTCAGTGAAATCCCTGACCAGAGTTACAGGAGTTCACAAGTTCAGTCAATCTGGATCTGTACTGTAACTTGAAAGTGAAAAACCACCATTCCCCACTAAGGACAAGAGCAACTGTACGAGGAGTATGGGATGTCTCTATAGCGAAATGTCTGCAGGAAATAAACACACTGCACACTGCATCTGGATAGCAAAGGAAGGGTCTGGAAATTTCTCTGAGGTCCTAGCATTCATACTGTATGAAACCATTTTAAATGTGTCAGACATTAATCCTGCGTGGGACCCTCACAGTTACACCCTCCCCATCTGCCGCACAGCCGCACCGTTCTGCTCCGCGGCCTCGCAGATACTCACACGACCTGACGCTCCTCACTGTAGGCCAGGATCTCGGTCACGTCCCAGTCACCCGAGGTAATGAACTGCAGGTTGTCGGTGGTGGCGTTGGGCTTGAGAGGAGAAACGCGACGTGAGTGAGTTGTGCCCCTCACTGGGGAGTGGCACCAATGCACGTGTGAGGATCAATTAGGGAACCCTCCAGCGGGGAATCTGGGCGGCTGGGCGGGGGCTCGGGGTGGCGTCAGGGGTGGAACTAAGGATTTACTCCAGACTGTAAGAGTCCTGAAGGGTTTGCATAACACCGCCAGCCCATCTGTCCTTGTGGGGGCGCTATTATCCAGCCCAGTTAACGGGATGAAGATCATAATCATGCGGACAGATGTGTGGAACCTCAGAAACATCTCCCTGGGCAACTGCAGCTGTCATAGTGACGCTACAACCCCATGTGACCTGCCTTCCACCTCATGCTCAGCCGCAGGGTGGGGGCGGGGGGGGAGCTCACCCGTGAAGATGACATGGCGATGTGGAAGAACTTGCCCATCCCGCCCTGGAAAACTGCCCGGGTGAAGAACAGCTTGTGGCCATCTTTAGAAAACAGCGGGGCTTCGTTCTGTCAGAGAACACAGGAAGTGACATACTTTCCAGGAAATGACTTACGCTGCTGGAGGGTATAGATTCACTTCATTCAAACTCCATTAGATCAATGCAGACTTATTAAATCAGTCTAAATGCATTACACTTGATAAATGAAAACTATTTAAACTGTATGTGAAACACTGAAATGTTATATTTACCATGGGAAGCTGGGTGATTTTGCACATTTTACCACCTCCGTGATAAAGGTACTTTGATCTCTGCCCTTTACCAGGGTGGGATTTGAACCGATGGTGTCTACAAACTGCCCCCCCCACCCGCTCACCTGTCTGTGCAGCCAGCCGTCACTCTCATCCTCGTGTTTCTGGAAGGAAGGGTAATGTTCATATTAATCAGTGCTGTTAGCACGTTGACATGCTAGCACGCCGCGGGCATCCTGGTTCATATTAATCAGTGCTGTTAGCACGTTGACATGCTAGCACGCCGCGGGCATCCTGGTTCATATTAATCAGTGCTGTTAGCACGTTGACATGCTAGCACGCCGCGGGCATCCTGGTTCATATTAATCAGTGCTGTTAGCACGTTGACATGCTAGCACGCCGCGGGCATCCTGGTTACCTTGGTGCAGACGCCAGTGGTGGCCTCACACAGAGTCAGTATGGAAGCATTCTGGGCCCGGTTCAGCCAATTGACGGCCAGCTTGGTGCTAGTGGCCCACTTCACCATGGTAATGTAGAAATCCCTGTCAAAACATTCAGCCGTTATTTTGCCACACCGGACATGTACTGGACACTGAAAAATGACACCGGACGCACTGTGATAAGTGACAGCAGGTGCAGCCAATCGGCAGCCCCGGCTTCTTGTGTTGCTTGCTGCCCACCCTATCCTGGGGTCCTCGGGCCTTCTCATCTCCATGGTGTGCAGCGGGCCATTCAGGTTCACCACGTACAGCTGGATCTGCGGGTTCTCCTCCCCAGCCTACAGAGTGCAGAGAAGGTCAGGGGACAGTAGTAGAATTTAGTGATCAGTGGTCATTGTTGACACACCACAGCACACAACAACAAAATGTGTCCTCTGCATTTAACCCATATGTGACATCGTGACATAGCAGGGGGCAGCTAATTCAGCACCCGGGGAGCAGTGCTTGGGGGCGGTACCTTGCTCAGGGTACCTCAGTGATGCCTTGCTGGTTGAGGATTTGAACCTACAATCTTTCAATTACAAGTGCGCTACCATTAAGCCACCACTGCTCACTGCAGGAGCCCAGCCCAGCCCAGCACACACATGTATTCTCCTGTCACTCCAAGGGGCTAGGGTCTGCCTCTTTCTCAGCTAACTTACTTTAGTGTAATGGAACTCCTTTCCCATGGGGTAGAGGGAGCCGGTGTACATGGGGATCTCCATCTTGGGGACGAGCGTGTCATTGATGGTGGCGTATGCTAACCTGGCACCATCTGGAGACCACCAGTGGGCGATGTGGCTTTGAAAGATCTCCTCTGGAAGGGAGAAAGTGAATTATTAAAAAGGCACATTACTCCACATGGCAAAGCCAGATGCTGTGGAGATGTGTGACGATCTCCATCCTGGGGATTTAGGCAACAAACATCCAGTACGTGATCCATCCTGTTGTAGAAGGAAATTATGTGCAGGAGACGCAGGAGGATCACATCCGGGCCTGCTAATGATCCCATTAAAGCAGGGCAGTATGGGCCCTGACAGCTTTCTTCTTTGGGGTGGGGGGAAATCGGGCCTGTGGGGGTTGGCACGAAGTTGCTAAACTGAACATCAACTACAAGGATCCGCAGAGCTCACAAGTACAGAACACGGTCAACTTATTGGATGTAGGTGAAGAAAAGAGCGATGGGGAGAGACAAAAGAACGAGTACAGAAGCATCTCGAGAGGCACCAGCCACTTACAGAACTCACTAATTATCTGGGTGAGAAATATACCTGACTGCAGTCCAGCAGGTGGCGTGGTGGCTAGGGCTACTCACTCCTAACCTGACACGTACTGTACTTAACCTGAATGACTCAGCCTTATGAACTAGTAAGAACTAGATGTCGGAAGTCAGGGCAGAAAAGCACTCAGGGGAGCCCGAGGGCCTGATTAGCCGGCTCCCCAAAGCTGGATCAGGACTGGCCTGCGGAAGAACGATTCGCAGTGTGAATGTCGGCAGTGATTACGGCTGGCGGGAACAACCATGCCACTATGTGTTACGCGTACATACATGCACACACTGGACATGTCAGACCTGACCCACTGGTGAATGCTGTACACTTATGGAGGTAGGGGTCTGGATCAGAGACCAGGACACCAGGAGAAAGGGTTCAGCCCCCCCACCCCGGATGTTGGCTGAGTAAGCAGAGCCTGGAGAACTGAGTGGGGCTGAATGGTACAGATGACTGGCTTCTGTTTTATTTAATTTCGCTCGGAAGCGGGGAGCCATCAATCACTGTGCTGCTTTGTAATTGGACTGATTCCCCCAGCACGCCACGAGATTCAGCCGGCAAAGTGTTTCTTGGCTGGAGACTCGTGCGCAGGGTCTCCCGATGCACCACGTTAATACTGATTCCCCGGAACACACCAGCGCTCGTGATTCACGCTGCCATGCCCTACAGGGGATGTGGCGGCCCTGATTAAACCCTAACCTGAAATACTCCATGTATTTTGGGCTGGGGGGGAGGTCTTAGCCCTCTGTGATGTCATCATGTCCTTGAATGACTCATTAAAGAACCTGACATTGTAAATTTACTTATTTAACAGAAGCTTTTGTCAAAAGGAAAGTTTGGGGTCAAAGAATCAGGTCAGTCTGCATCTATTTGGGGTTAAGGGCCTTGGTCAAGGGTCCTATGGTAATGCAATTACTCTGCCAGCCATGGGATTTGAACCTTCTAGTCGTGGGAGAAGAGCACCAGCTTACTGAGCTGTCCTCCACCCCAGTACCTGCTACTTGGCTTGTCAGTTACTGTTCTGGTTTTCAGTACTGTGATCAGACAGCCGCAAGGAAATAAACATCTCAAGCCAACGGGCAGCTTAATTACCTCAAAAAAGTATTGAAATCCATTAGAGGCAATTTGTTATGCCAAACACCACGGCTTTAGAAGTGCAGAGTTCGTTTGCAACTTTGTAGTTAACATTTGGAAGACGTTACCTGCCATTAATGTGACCAGTGTGTACTGTATGTGAGGCGATGTCATGCTCAAACAGCCATTACCCTCCACTCGTAATGTGATGATTAGGTTTGTTTACCATTTAATGATTTTGTCCCTTCTGAATTGTTTTTGGGTTAATTTAAAAAAACATGTTCTGGTACATTAGCAAACCCCACAAATGCATCTAATGGACTAAAGACTGTCGTCCTACATCACTGGATGCCTGTCTGACCGGCGGAGGAGGACCCATGCGTGCAGTAGCAATGCGTTGGAACCTTCCGGAAGTACCAGTGAGAGGGGAGGCGCTCCAGTCTGGTCCTCTCCTAAGGTGCCTCACCCCGATACTTGCGCCCACGCCCAGCTGCTAAATGTCAGATTTTAATTTGGTCTTCCTGTGGAGAGCATTCAGGCCCCCCTGCCAGATAGTGATATACTCCCTAATTAACGTCCCTGTGGCTGAGAGCAGCGCCATTTTCATAACCCCCCTGCTGGCCCTAGGTTCCTTTCTGTCAGGACAGTGGCAATACATGGCAGTGGGGGTAAAGGGACACATGAGCTGCAGCTCTCTTTCCTGGTGCAGCTGGGTCCAATTCTACACTCCATAAGCAAGTAAGAACCAAAACAAATGAGAAGTCAGACAGCAATGAAAATATGCTGACTGCTGGTTCCCTAACCTTACAACACATATCGCAATGGTAATGAGGCAGACCTACATAAATATGGAAATTATGATGAAGGCTGCATATTATTAAAACATGGTCCATTGGGAGAAAACCAACTTCAGCCACAAAATCCCACTTCCTTGATTGTCCACCAGGTGGCAGCAGAGATCTACCCTAGATACAGTCTAACCAGTCCTGAGTCACCCCACTACTAATGAGAGGGGAAAGTTGCAAGCCACGCCGGATGCCTTGTCTTTTTTAGGTGCAGCACCCCCCACAGGATGCTTCATGTTTTTGGTGTAAAAGTGGGTTCGGCTACATTTTCCTAAAGTGTCAGTCATCGCGCGTCCTCTATAGTTACACTGTTCCAGCCACCTGCAAAATGGGGGCGCTGTCAAGCTCATGGAGCAGGCCAGCCCAGCATGCAACCTGAACCGTGACCGAAGGCTCCCAGAATCATTTAGGCAAAATGACACTAAATAAGCCCAGAGCAGGTACTCACTGGTAAATGTCACATCTCACTTTTCAGTCTTACCTACAGAAGAATAACCTGATATTTTAACTATGCATATACATACACACACACACCTACATACACATGCATAGTTAGTCTATAAACAGTCAAAATGTAAACTCCAGACTACAAGCCTGAACACTTACAACTAAAATATATATTTAAAAAAGATATTAGTGCTATGCTGACCGCCTCCCTTTTTCAGCTGGTTTACTGGTCAGCTCCAAAGTCATGGCACTGACCTCTTTCGATTTTGCTGTTAGATGGGTGTACAAGGTCATATCAGGGAGGCAGCAGGCATTCATACATGCATCCATCCACACTGCAAGCCCTCACAAGGACATGTGGAATTAAGAATGCATACATGCATATATGCCTAATGATTTATTTTAGAGATGGGCTGATCCACATTTTTTTCAGTTCCAAACTGATTCCAATACACAACTGCCAGTACCAATACAGATTCCGATACAGATTCCGATTCTTTTTTACTATACAGTGGTACTTTGGTTCTCAAACTTAATCCGTTCCGGACTCCGGATCGAATCCTAAAAAGTTTGAGTTCTGATCAAATTTTTCCCATAAAAAATAATGGAAAACCAATTAATTGGTTCCCGGCCCCCCAAAATTACACCTAAATGTTTTTTTTTTTTTTTTTTTTTTTAGCATTTAAACACAAAATGAACAGGATAAAACAAGAAGAGCATTTTTTTCTTAATGGCTTCCAAAACGATAAAGATCTTATCCCAACATTACCCCTGTCCTGCCACGATCGTCCGCTCCTTCCGTGTGCCACGCCCCCTCGTTAACCTCGTGTGGGATCCCCATGTGATCAGCTGTTTCTGGTTGTTGTCATTAGTCCTCTGTATTAAGTCCGCGTTTCAGTTTGTTTCCTCAGTCCGATCATTGGGTGCGTTCGACTTGCTTACAGCAATGCATTCTGATCCTGACGCAATGCATTACGGTTAGATGCATTGCGACCTCTCACCCGGCTGCACAAACTGGAACCACCTCCGTGACGACACACCTTTGCCCTTATTGGATGAAGAGTTTAGTTACACGCATGACGTTTGTATCCCAGGCAGTTCCGGTGCGTAATCTGCTATTTCTCCCGAATATCACGTAAAGCAGTGAGAACTGGTTTTCAGTTAATTTACCTGGTAAAATAAAGTTTAAATAAATGACATAAATGCTCTAATAGTACACGTAAGTTAGTGGTTTATTTATTGTTAGTTACTGTAATGTTGCGCTGCTTTATTTGGTTAATCGTCCAGTCTGTGAAGAAGGCATTCAAGTAAGAATTGCACTGTAGTATGACTCATTTCCTGACGCGTACCATTTATATTAGGTCAGCATTCACTGTTCGACTTCTGATATTCAGATCGAGTTCTAGGTCAAACTGGTTTGTTCGACTTTCAAGAAATTCGAGTTCCAGTGAGTTTGAGAACCGAGGTACCACTGTATATTTTACTATATAATATTTTAACATAACTGTTCCACCTCGCGTGTACATCTTGTTTTAAGCGTCTAAATCTAAATAAGTAAGTATCGGTCATGGATCAGTCACGTATGGCTGATACCCGATCAGTTTAATAGGTCTGGATCGGCACCAATACCAATCCGAATATCGGATTTGTGCATCTGTAATTTATTCATTTAGTACTTCAGAATAAAACACGATAGAGAAAGTGCTATCAAGCCCAGACTTCACTGAGCAAAGAAGGGGTGAGGTGGTGCATTAGAGATATGGATCTAGTGTTTGAAAAGTTTAAGAGTTTGCTCCTTTGGGAAAGGGGGCATCATTTACTGAGGGTCAGTCTGTTTATATCTTTGACATGTTTTTGACGAGCAGCGTGCTGAATGCCAACATCATCCATCTCCCGGCGCACATGTGTCACGCTAAATTGCGATTAAAATAGGAAATGCTCACTTTGTTTTCCTCGTTCTAGGTCGGGAGTCAGTCTCGTCAGTGTGGGATGTGCAGGGAAAGCAGATCGATGTGTGCTGAAATACTCTGCGCTGAATATTATCTGTCCTCAGCAGGCACGCTCTTGTCCTCAGACATCAGATTCAATACCTGGGCAAACTCCAAGTGGATAAAAGGGCCGGTGCCCACGGTGACCCCCATAGGGTGGTGGGTTATGTCGACCGTGGACCTGAGATCGTCTCCTTTGTTCAGGTGTGACACAAAGCCCAGCAGGAAGCTTTGGGTTTAGTGGGTCCCTGATACTCTCGGCACAAAGGCCTGCATCTTCAAAAACACCTTCATATACAGATCTCAGTTACACCTCACTTCAGACTGGGACGGCTTCCCTGGACAGTGATTCTGGTTAATCTGCAAAAACACAACGCACCTTACAAACAGAGAACATGATGAACTAAAATCCTGGTATCCCACTGGGGGGCCCTGCTCTGTGTGACATCGACAACGTGTGGCTTCAAATCAAAGATCGTCCTTCAGTGTATTTGCCCATTAGACCCAGCACAAAGGCTTCTGTACTTACAAACAAAAGTTTCAGGGAAAAAAAAAAGCCGAAATCCATTGCCGAAGACAGACACCTATGAATATTCATCAGCAGAAAGTCCATTGCTTGTTTAGGTCTCATTCCAGGCACTCAGATACCAACAGGATGGCTGTAGCTGCCAATCACCCAGAGCCAGAATGCTTATCTGCTCATTAATATTCATGATTATAGCGAGAGACCGCACATTTGACAGGCACGGGAAACAGCGCTGCACATTAACGAGTTCCGGCTCCCATCCGGAGTGTTCGCAGCTGCCTTTGTTGTCCATGCCTCTTCTAATTTGCATGCCGCCATTTCCTAAAAGTGACACCCATGGAAAGCCATAAACATTTAGAATGGATGACACTCCCCCCTTCCTAATGATAATTGTCTAATTGCTGGTTTTCAAAACAAGCTCTTTGTAATACGTGTCAAAATGGTCAAAGCAGCAATAATCTCGAACCTGGCAAAAAAACAAAAACAGATTTTTGCACAGCTGTAAATTTCACTTTAATAGCCATGACATAAGGAGGCAAAAAACTGTATTTATACCTGCATGCTTCGGTTGATTTTAGTTTCCAATAAACTAAGGTTGGCGTCTCTTAGCCTGGCCATACTCACATTCAATCATCCAACCATCTCAAATGCTCTACACTCTTCAAGGAACATATCAAATGGGGTCTTGTCCAGAATACCCAGTAATCTGCAGCTGGAGCGTCAGCTGCATTTGGGTTAGTTTGTAATATTTGTGGTCTTACATGCATATGAAATTATTAGTAGTATTAATCTCTGTCTGATCTTTCTGCTAAGCTGCGGCTCAATCCCTTGCCTCCCTGAGGCAATACCAGCCCCTCTCGTGTTCCACTTCCCCCTGAACGAGGGGGCCTCACTCCTGCCAACTGGGACATAGAGTCTCTGATCTGACTATATCAGGGCTGTCGAGAGGTGTCCCTCTTGGAGCAAAGGCTCTGAAGATCTATCTGCTGAGCTGCACTGACTGCGTGGTAAAGGTTAAGGGTCCCATCGACAAACGCAATAATCAGCAACAACTGTAAAAACCGAAACCAAAACACCTAACAACCACTACAAGCAACAACCGTAACAACCAAAAACTGGAATCAAATCAAGCAGCATCAACTGTATAAACTGGAACCAAAATAAGAAACAGCATCATTAACAACCACTACAAGTAACCAATATAACAACCAAAAACTGGATTCAAAACAAGCAAGAACTACAACGCCCAAAACTACAAGCAACAACAACCATAAAAACCAAAACAAACACCAATAAAACCTGAAACCAAAACAAGCAAGCAGCTCTAACCAACAACCACAAAAAACAACCATAACAACAAAAACTAAAACAAATGGCAACCAAAAACTGAAACCACAACAAGCAACACACACCACAATCAAAACCAGCAACAACAACTGTAACAGACAAGCATGCCCTTCATCTTCTTCTGTCCAGCTGCTGTGTGGACCTTCAGAAAATGAACAAACTTTCATAAAAGACACACGACCTGGTTAATATTCCTCTTACCTTCATAAAGCCAGTCACTCAGGCCATTAAAGATCACTCCTTCCCTTCCTGACGACACCAGGCGTATTGACCGGCTTTCCACGGTTGCCCGGTAGTAGATATTATTCTCAAATATAAAGATCTATGGAGGAGAGAACGAGGAGCATGAAATATTCACTTAATCAATATCCACATATATGGTATGGGATTAGTGATGCTGATGCATGGTTCATAGAAAGACAGAAAAAATATCTTTTTAGACTGAAAGTTTTTCCCCAACTGTTAAAAAAGGTTCTTTTTCCTGCAAAAATGACACTGAAGTATCAAAATGTAATTAGTTTGCATTTTAATGATGTGAGATTACCGTAGGAAGTTACTGCAGCACCAATGTGACAATGAGAAGCGGAGGCCATCAGTCAGACTCCAGTGGAATCAAAAAATAAGTTAACTGACAGGAGGTACCACGAGAAACCCACATCTGCAATCACCAGCAGGACAAGAAACAGACACCTGCCATCACTAACAGAATGAGGAACAGACACACATAATTACAGACAATGAGAAACAGACCCTTATAATAACTGACAGGACAAGGAACAGACACTTGTGATTACCCACAGTATGAGGAAGAGACCTCCACGATCACAGGATGGAATGCAGAACAGACGCTAACATAATGAGCAGATGCCCACAATCAACGACAGAATGAAGAACCAACGCTCATGATCATTGTCAGGATGTTAACCAGACATCCACGACCACTAACATGACGAGGAACAGACATCCATGATCACCGCCATGATGCGAAACAGACGCTTGTGATCACAGACAGGGTGAGGAACAGGCACCCATGATAACCGACATGATGAGGAACAGACAGTGGAGCTGACACTCCAATTACCCACAGAGGAAGAGACCGCCACGATCACTGAGAGAATCAGGAACAGACGCCCATGATCACCGACAGGATGGAATGCAGATACAGACGCTAACATAAGTAGTAGAAGCTCACGATCACTGTCAGAATGAAGAACAAATGCTCACGATCACTGTCAGGATGCAGAATAGACGCTTGTGATCACAGACAGGGTGAGGAACAGGCACCCATGATAACCAACATGACGAGGAACAGATGCCCACAATCACTGACACACTGCTGAAGATCCTACATGCTACAACATCCGTAACCAGGCCTGGCACATTGTCATAAAACAACATAAGCACATCGGTGATAAGATGCCACTTTTCATCCCGTGTGAAACATACTGACAGCCACATCCATGGGAGACAGCTGGCCACCACCCAAAAAAGGCACACCGACGGGGAATGGGATTATATACAGCACAGACGGTTGACAAGAAATCTTGTGGCCTGGTCCTCTCCCTGGCAGAGCAGGAGCGGATATCTTAGCGGCATGGGGAGGATGTCCAAACGGCCTGTGAACCAGGCCAGTTCAGCCACGGCTGGGAGGTCATAGAGCATTACTCAAAGGGTTACCCCAGATACAGGGAAAGTGGGAGGAAAAAAGTAACCTGAACTATGAAAACAATCCAAGAAGCAGACAGACAGATATGAACAAGCAAACATGAAATATATATAAATGTATCCGCAGCGTTACAGACCTAAGAAAATACAGACCTAAGGAGGAAAAATAATTTGCTAATATTTTATTTATTTCTGCCAATACAGCACAACACAGCATCGGGGAGTCCTGCAGAAAACATTCTGAGTGAACTGTTTCCCTGAGTCAGGTCTGACATCATGCCATTTTAGAAACATAATGCTTTAAAGATTAAACAGAACAGCCTGGGAACAGCGCCTCCACCAGAACATTAATCTGAAAGTCACTATATTATTTAGAGGGAAGCAAAAAAGGTAAAAAGTGACTGCATGAACAGTATTCTAAATGCAAGGTAACTCTCATACTGTATATACAAGATAATGAGCAGGGCAGGAAGAAAGGGAACACACTGAGACGATGTATACTTTCCACATGGAAAGCAAGTACGCTCCACACTGCTAACACATGAAGTGATGAGGAGCTGGTATGGGCCAAAAGCATCAAACACATTGCAGGACAGCTAGGAGAGCATGCTGGACAGCTGTAGCCCCATTTCCCCATCTTCCTGGTTCCATCATGCTTGGGGGCAGGGGTGCATTTAAAGGTGCACGTGGCATCTGTCAACCTGCCAGGAAAGGCACGACGCCAAAATCGTTGGTTCATTTGAGGTGGGGGAGTGGGCATTCTGAGCTCGTGGCTGTTGTCATGGCACAGTTTTCAGGGATGACCACCCTAAGACACGTTCCCTAGTCTCGTCCATCCCCACGGAGGTGACCCTGAAAGACGGGGCCCCGCATACATGATTTCCATTTTCACAGGCCCACAACCATGTGGGACACGTGGAACATGTGGATTCGCTTAAAAGTCATTTGATCTGACCGAACTCGGCCAGATTCCCACTGTGTGACTGGGTGTTGGAAAAGGGGCGTGGTCTTGATCTGGGCAGATCTCCATGACAACGTGTGTCATGTGTGCCAGGATGACCTCCACGCTAATAGGACTGAAGCCCCCAAACCCACGTCCAAGCCCCTCCCACCTTTACCGTCCCAAAAAACCTTAGAGCTGAAGACGTTTAGAAGATTACAACAATCCAATTAAATTCAAATGACAGTGAAGAACAAAGAGGACATTAAACACAATTATATTATGCAAATTCAACAACATCTTAGTTCCAAGTAATTTGCTATTTCTGTTTTTTTTTGTTTAGTAATCCATGCAAATGGTGTAACGTATAATTACAGCTTCAATGAAAATGCCAAGAAGATGTTTATTTTTCATTCTTATTATCCTGAGATTCTTTACAGACCATTTAATTATTTTTATTGTATTAGCTTGAGGTGAGAAGCATGAACTTGAATCCACCTGTTGTATTTAAAATTAACCTAAGAAAAATATATAGGATTTACAAACATAGGTTTCAGGCTGTTAGATTGTTTTTTACCCCTGTTTTTTGGTTCTGAGCTTCCATAACTCAAAACATTAAAACAAAAACATAGAAAATCCATGTATCCCATTTTCCCGATGATTATCTGATTTTGCTCTCCCCTTGTACATGTGCCTAAAGGCTTAAATTAAATGATGTAGTAACACCTCTTATCCAAAGTCTCAGCAGACAGCGGCCCAAGCCCAGTCCCCTCTGTGCTGTAGTTATTCAGAGCCACATCTAGGCCACAGCACTGACTGAGCTCGTCCCAATTCTAGTGGATTATAAAAACAAGCTTGGGTCATCTCAAATCTATCTGCTAAGTGTAACTAAGCACTGCCCTTCCTTTTCATGCCTCCTCTTCATTTCTCTCTCACCCCTAGCTCAATACAGGTTACAACTACAGAACAGAGACTGAGGGAATGATCTTACTGGAACGAATCAAATGGCCACAACTCTGGGTTAAAAAGGACCACAGCACTTGATTAAACAGGTCACCGGTAACAGGTCCAACAGGGCCACAGCACTGGATTAATCAGGTCCCCAGTACCAGGTCAAACAGGGCCTCGGCTCTGGATTAAACAGGGCCACAGCTCAGGGTTAAAGAGGTCCCCAGTACCAGGTCAAACAGGGCCACAGATATGGGTTAAATCAGTCCCCAGTACCAGGTCAAACAGGGCCACAGATCTGGGTTAAATCAGTCCCCAGTACCAACTCAAACAGGGCCACAGATCTGGGTTAAATCAGTCCCCAGTACCAACTCAAACAGGGCCACAGATCTGGGTTAAACAGGTCCCCAGTACCAGGTCAAACAGGGCCTCGGCTCTGAATTAAACAGGGCCACAGCTCAGGGTTAAAGAGGTCCCCAGTACCAGGTCAAACAGGGCCACAGCTCAGGGTTAAAGAGGTCCCCAGTACCAGGTCAAACAGGGCTACAGATATGGGTTAAATCAGCCCCCAGTACCAACTCAAACAGGGCCACAGCTCAGGGTTAAAGAGGTCCCCAGTACCAGGTCAAACAGGGCCACAGATATGGGTTAAATCAGTCCCCAGTACCAACTCAAACAGGGCCAGAGATCTGGGTTAAATCAGTCCCCAGTACCAACTCAAACAGGGCCACAGCTCAGGGTTAAACAGGTCCCCAGTACCAGGTCAAACAGGGCCACAGATCTGGGTTAAATCAGTCCCCAATACCAACTCAAACAGGGCCACAGCTCAGGGTTAAACAGGTCCCCAGTACCAACTCAAACAGGGCCACAGATCTGGGTTAAATCAGTCCCCAATACCAACTCAAACAGGGCCACAGCTCAGGGTTAAACAGGTCCCCAGTACCAACTCAAACAGGGCCACAGATCTGGGTTAAATCAGTCCCCAATAC